GTTTATTTGTGTTTGCTCTGTCTCATGAACAGTTTGTCTGAAGAGATTTTTTCGTATTCGTTTGCCTCTAAATCTTTGATGTTAAGCTCCAAACGTGGCTAAATTTATGATGTGATGATAAGTTAGCTGCAAATAATTGGTGATAATCTTTGTGAAGTCTGAACTGAACATTTCTACTTGGGAGAAAAAGAATCAATATGCTTAGCAATGTTGAATAACTATAGCTTCTCATTTCTCTCACAAAAGAGTAGCTTATTTAATTTCTGAATGACTTGTTTAAAGAGATAACAACGAACTAGACACCATTATCATCTTGATATGGGTATGGAGTGATTTTGGCTGTTCATGAGTGCTCTCCAATCTCCAGTAAACTTAGTGGTTAGTGTTATGCTTCCATTTTCTTATATGTTTGTTACTGTTTGTCTGAATAAACTTGCATAAAAAAACAGATTACATTGATCACGTACTTGTATGTGCAAAAATAGATTCTGCGAACCCTGTTTGGTGGAATACTAATGGCTATTAATTATTTTGTTCCTCTTATTTAGAAAAATAACAAAATGAAAGGCCATATTTCTTGTATGCAATGTCATAGTAACTCTGCAGATCTGCATACCATTCTGGATAGATGAAAGCATAGGCATATAGAGGTAAAACGGCCACACCAAGGTGAAAGAGAATAATGAAGAAACAGTTTTCAGCTTTCAAGTTGGTAACACATTTAGATATTTTGGCCAGTTTGTATCCCAAGTAAGTATATATGAAGACTATGTGTTGGTGTAAGTTATTTTGTGCCAACCTGCTTTATGTATCTTTTAACTAGGAAGTTTGATCTTTTTCCTTTTGGTTTGCGGGGAGGTCAGATTGAACCTGGCTGTTCACAAGTTTCATCTAAAAGCTGCCATTGGTAATTGATTATTAGTTATGCTGTTCTCCCTTCATACCCCCCACCCAAAAAAAAATAAATATCCTACACACACAGCACAAACAAGAAAAAAAGAAAGAATAAGGAGCAACCTCTCCAGCTTCCTTAAGGAGAATGACAATGCTGTAATGTGTGTAGATATGATTTTGTACAACCACTTGTCTTTACATATTCTAATTTTCAATTTATTCATAATAAAGTAACTGTGAATACTCATTTCTGTAATCTATTTTGGAATTTGTTTCCTGCTATCTGGGTGTAATTGTCCCAACGTATGTTATTGGTTTGTTGGTACTGACTTTTCCCTGTTTCAGCTATGGGCTAGTCTGGATCTCCACTACTTTGGTATTTATGCTTGCTTCCCTTGGAAATAGTGCCACGTACTTGATACGCAAAAGAAGTGACACCACTACTCCTTGGAACTTTGATGTCAGCTACGTAAATGTGGCTGCTGGCTCAATATTCGGCTATGCACTCATTGTGCCTATGGGATTTTACTTCTTGCTTCAGTATCTGGGATCAAATGCCAGTCTTGTACGCTTCTGGTGCATGTGGGGATACTCCCTCTTCATCTTCATTCTCAGCTCTGTAAGTATCCATCATGTGTATGAGCCAATGATATTTTTCCCCGCCAATGTAGGTTCCTCAAATGACCACATAAACCCACAAACCTTGGGAGGAGGAATACAAGAGAAAACAAGGAAAAATAAGAAGAGAAAGAGAGGAAATTTGTTCCCAAATACTTATCTTTATGGTTGTGAAGGCTTATAACCACCATACAATATTTAGTGCAAGTGTTACACAAAACAGCCATTTGAACTTCATTTGGCTTGACCAACAGGTCCTTCATTTAGTGTACAGTGTACCTTGGTACAAGATCGAAAATAGTGCATTGCATTTCAAGTGAGATGCCAAAGAGAATTGCCTTAATATAGCTAGGTTCTGCTGTAACCCAAGTCATATTGGCATAGCTTCTAAGAGGTGTTGGGGCGAAGGGTTTGATTCATATTTTCAGGATGAAGTTAATTCTTGCATGCAATATTGTAATATTGTGTGATCCTCTGATGCATTGTCCTGGAATATCTGCAGTTTCTGTTGGTTATCCCTGTCGAGTTTCTCCGGTGGACCATCATAATCATCAGTGGTGCTGCCTCAGCTGGCTTTGTCTCTCTGAACCTTAAGTCCTATGTGGAGGGAAATGATCTTACATTGGTTTTAGTTGCCGCATTTGTCTTGCAATTGGGTCTTGCAATTTTTATCAAGATGTGGTTCTTCCCTTAAGCTAATAACTGAATTGGAGTCCCATCAGCAGGCAAATTTTTGATTTAGCGTGTAATTGGTCTGTGTGTTTTAGCGTACTGCAGTGGATGGTTATTGGCACTAGAATGGAGAGTGTCTTAGAAAAATAACTAATGTGATAAAAAAAAATTGGGGTGATTTTGGTGGTGGTGGTTTTTTTTTGGTGAGTAATAGTAAATGTTTTGGTTGCTGTTGTTGCTTCATGCTTGTCGGGTTGCAGGAAAAGGTTAACATCATTATTTTTGAGCATTTTGTTTTTTAATTGCCCTTTTTTCATATGAACTTCGGTTATTGTAAATATACAGTGTTATCAGAAAACATGTTTCAGTCTCTCTCTCTCTCTCTCTCATATGTGTTCATGTGTTGAAATTGGTGGTTGACACGGGGTTTGTGTATTAGATTATGCTTAACTCTATCCAGAGGATGGACCTCCTTGTTAACCATCTGTTTTGTATCGGTGTGATCTATTTTATGCAAAATGCTTATATGTATGTAACATCAGTTTGTCCACCAAGCTTTTGGTCAGGATTTTGCGGGTGAAACACAAGGCATGTTTATTTGACCTGTCTGTGATGTGAGATAGGGGAATAGCCCACCGTTATTGACATCTTTTACTGAAAGGTTATCAAAGTTGCCAAAAACGTTCAATGAAGTCCATCTAAGAGAATGGAATATCACGAGTTTCGAGGGTCCCTGCACTTTGAAGAACCAAGTGTAATTAACAATTCCTCTTATGGAACTATGGGTCTATGTTTATCGGTAATACTACCTTTAATTCTAGTCTTAGACCCAATCTCCCATGAAATCAAATGGTGTTTCCTTCCCCAATAGATTTCTACGTAAAATTACGTGTATCGTGTTTGTAATTGTCTCTTTCATATTCCATAAAAAAAATTCCTTCTCGTACCCTCAATTCTCCTTGCCAGCAAAGAAGGTATCTTAAAGAGAGATAAGAAATAAATAAGAACATTAGCCAATACTAATTGAACTAATGCAACTCTTCTACCTTTAAAAATAAAACTTTCTTCCGTCCATCTAACCTTACCAATTTTTTCAGCAACCAGATCCCAAAATCCAAGGATAAAGAATTTTCATCCCACACTCCCGCATGACACCCCAAAACCCCCTGCCAACCTACTAATCTTCCCCTCATTGGAATTAATTTCAACAATTAAACTTTTATCCATGTTAATCTTAAGACTCTAACACCACACCAAACACATCAATAATATTTTTAAGATTTATAAACCTCTCTTCATCCCGCCAGGAGAAGAATATGATATTTGTTATAACTTTTATAATGTATCACTCAAGTGTACGCTATCGCAAAGTAATAAAACTTGGAAATCCAAGGTCTTACCACAAAGAATTGATGAATAATTCAGAATACAAAGAAAAATATAAATAAAATTGCTTTTGAAAGTAGTTTGAAAAAGTTGAATTTAGAAATAGTGAATTCTGGGTTTGAAACAACTCAAGCATTGGGGATCCTCTTCTAATTCCACAATATTTATTCCTAATCTAGTTTTCGAATTCAATTAAAAATCAGACAGTAAGTGATCTTAATCAAAAGATTTAACAGTGATAATATAGAAAAAAAATCCAAAAAATACAATAAATAAATTATTTGAATAAAAATTAATATTTAATTATAGATCACAAACATTCACTGTACTCGTAGTCGACAATGAATCAAGTCCAATAATTAAAATCTTTTTTTATCACAACAAGATCAATTATTTTCATGATAATTCTAATTAATTAATTCAAACATGCAAAACCAGTTATTTGACTCACAAAAAATCTAAAATATTTCTTGTACGTGACACAACGAATTAAGAGATTTTAAAGCAAAAACCTTACTTAAAGACATGAATTAATTAAAAAAATCATACATTATAAAACAATGGATCAAAAAAAAATATTGTGTAGCTTTATTTGGGGATTTTAGTAATCCATAGAACAAAACAAAAACAAAAACAAAAACGAGGGAAAAGAGAGGCTAAAGGCAATATATATTCCCCAGTTAGCGTTTACAAGTATTTGTACATTAATCAGAATCAAAGACTGAATGCAAGGAACACGCGCCCGGCACACATGACCTCTTCTTGTAGACTTCATCATCCGTGTCTAGACGCGCATTTCATGCGTCCGAATACACCAACTTCGCTAGAAATCACTTCCAAACGTGGATTACGTCCGAACGTGGATAATCCTCAAGAAATTGCGTCCGAACGTGTGGAACTGGAATTTTCTTCTCTTCTTCATTTCAAACATTCCAAGTTTTCTCCATTTTGCATATTTTCCCTATAACTTTCCTATTTTGACATATTTACTTGAAAACAAACAAACACTATAGAAATAGGGTTAAAATATAAAATTCATCATTCATGCACATTTAAATTCCAATCTGTTGCAATTAACCAACAAATAATGACACAATTATGTATATTTCATAGCTAATCAACATCAGTTGCAAGCTGAAAATGCGACACAGATACCCTCTCACTGCCAACTAAAAACCCTCTACAAGATTACTTCTCTTTGCCATCAACATTAACCTATTCAATCATTCCACAATAAGGGTAAAAAATGAGGGTGATAACGTATCACCCTGTTTGAGTGCCGCACACTGATGTCTACAAGTCAAAATCTGAAGGTTTGAAAATAATGGGAATGATAAGAATCTAAAGTGTATCAACATTAGTTCGTACCTCTTTCAAAACGCGTTGAACAGTGCTGTTAAGGTCGCCTTTCCAGAACCTTTTCAACCACCCTATGAATTGATATATAGCTTTGGTGTGATTATGAGCCCTGAAGAGAAGGCCTGCATCTTGGGACAATTTTCCAACGTCACTTTTGTTAAGGATGGCCATTCCAAAGTATAATTTCCCAAGTAGAAACTCTTGAGGTTTGGTAGATGTACAAGTTTAAGAGTGTGAAAATTAGGGAACACAAGTTTTCCTGAAGAATCTTCTCCTTGTTCCAGGACCTCTTCCACTAAATCACATTCTCTTACAACAAGCTTGCCCAAATTGTGTAGCATTGGGAGTAATTTGGATGGTACAACTTTTAACAAATTGTTACATGCACGCACTGTTAGAACATTCAGTTGATTAAAGCAATCTACTGGAAGTTCGTTTTGCCATATCTTTTTCAGGTTGTCTAGTCTCTGAAGACTCAAATCCGTCAGGGCGTGAAGTACAACCTGCCAATGTACGTTATATTAACACATGAATGTTCATAATTAGACAAATACTATAAACTTCAAGGAGAGAAAAGGAACTAGAAATTACGTTATGCCTGATTAATATATAGGATAAGAAGAATCATCAATAGTAATTAAAAACTTTGAACAATTCACACTTTCTTCACCCGTCACATAGGCATTTTCACAGTCATGTGTTGGGCTTGAGAAACAGGGAAGGAAAAAAAAACAATTGCCCAAACAAAAGAAATAATAAATAGATTACGAGATTTACTAATAAAAAAATTTCCTCCTAAATTGCCATAACTTTTTGCTTGTATGTATCAGTCTCAATTTCTGTAAAAAATGAAAAAGGGTATATCTGACTTCAAGTTTGGGTCCAATCAGGTTCAAGTCAATTTCTCACTACTTTGGTTTGAATTTAATGCAAGTACGAAATAGTCAATTCAGTATTTTTCATAGACAGGTGGTAAGTGAAGTAGAGAAGAACTAGGGACCACATTTAGTATTGGTTACATGTCACATTTGCCATCCTGAAAATTGATCGTCCTATGGAACTGGTAAATCAATATAGATATATGATAATTTTTCTCCCAAGATTTCTCTTTGTATACATAAGTAGTTTAGAGAGAGAGAGAGAGAGAGCACGTACCTTTTCATTGAAAAATGGTTGTTTGGTGACGCTAGAGTTGCCTTCTTGATCTATTTGTCCCTCAAACTCTTCTTCACTTGCTTCTTTTGGCCTTTTTGTGCTTGAACCAACAAATGTTTGCATCTTGGGACATTTTTCAATCACCAAATATTGCAAAGAGTGGAACTCTAAAGTACAATTCCCTTGGTAGAAGCTTGTGAGTTCTGGCAATTGAGAGAGGCGAAGGTCAAATAATTTAGGGAACACAATCATGTCACCGACCACTGCATCTTCCTCTCTTTCGGTTGCTATTATCTCTTTCATCATGTCGCATTCTACTAACTCAAGATATTTAAGTTGAATAAGAAGTTTTGTTGCGGTAAAAGAGAGAAGATATCTCTGACATTTGCATCCTCCGATAGTAAGATGTGCGAGATTCTGGAAGTTAAGAGATTCTGGGCAGACCATGTTCCACCATACATCCTTCAAGCTTGATAAACCCGACAATTCAAATTTCTCTATCCTTGGTAGTGTTACTGAAGTTGCATTATGTCCTTCACATAGGTCCTCCAACAAATCACACTTTGAAACACGTAAACTTACCAAATTTTGTAACAATTGTACCAAACTTGATGGAAAAATTGTGATTAGCTTTCCACACTTGCTTATTGACAGTACAGTCAATCTGTTGAAGTTCCCGCCAGGAAGCAATTGTTGGTGCCATATCTTTTCCATTTCGTGCAGTTCAAGGAGATCCAATCTCTCCAATGCTGGAAATACAACCTGCGTGCGAAATTACATTATTCATCAATCTTAATAAAATAAAATAAAATTTCCATTTGTCTTGTTAGCTTTTTTACAGTTATCTGGCGGGCTTGAGGAACAAGGACATACAACCACCAAGTGACCCAAACAAAGGAAATAAGAAATAAAGAAATAGACATTACTAATAAAGAAAAATATTGTTGACTTGGTAGTGTTACTGAAGTTTATCCTTGGTAGTGTTACTGAAGTTGCATTATGTCCTTCACATAGGTCCTCCAACAAAACACAATATGAAACACGTAAACTTACCAAATTTTGTAACAATTCTCCCAAACTTGATGGAAAAATTGTTATTAGGTTTTCACAGTAGCTTATTGACAGTTTAGTCAATCTGTTGAAGTTCCCGCCAGGAAGCAATTGTTCGTGCCATATCTTTTCCATTTTGTGCAGTCGACTGAGATTCAAGCTCTCCAATGCGGGAAATACAACCTGCGTGCGAAATTACATTATTCATCAATCTCAATAAAAAAAAAAAAAACTTGTGATTTGTCTTGTTAGCATTTTTACAGTTATTTGGCAGGCTTGAGGAACAAGGACATACAGCCACCAAACAAAGGAAATAAGAAATAAAGAATTTCTCATATGAGTCGTGAGAAATGAAGAAAAATATTGTTGACTACAATTCTACAAAAACGCTTTTTAGTAACACATTTCATGGTCACACACCTTTCCATCGAACAGAGGTTCATGTGCTCGGATACGAGGATTGCTATCTGAAGCCGAAGCCGAACTCTTTGTTTGGCCAAAAAAACTCACGAGGTTCGGTAGATTATCTAGCCTCAACTCTTTCAAGTTGTGTAAGACAATTTCATCCTCTTGTGCTGCTGCTCCTTCCGCATTGATTGCAACTATCACTTCCATATTGTTGGAGTTCTCTATCTCTAGGATTTGGAGCTGTTGAAGATCTCCTGCTATATATTGCTGAAACTGAAAGAGGCATTCCATTTTGTGACAGTTTAATACATGCACCCTCCTTAGGCTAGAAAGCCGTACTTGGCCAGTGGGATCCTCCCACAAATTTATTAACTCAGGTAAGTCGTATAGAGTCAAGTCACGTAGTTCACAAAAAGATGTAGATGGGAGATGGCCATGGCATATCTGTCTCAATTCTTGCATGTTTTCGAGCCTTAATATCTCCACCCCAGGAAAAACACAACGTGGCATCCTCTTCTTAGTGTCAACTAGATATTCAATCTTACCACCACATCGATCAACTGTCAAAGACTTCAGATTTGAAAATCCATCTATTCTAAAATCATTAAGAAGAGTCTCCACATCCACCAATTTCTTTAGGCTCAATGTTTCGGCTGCTTTTAACAGCATATTGACCCCACTGTCTTCTTGAATAATATTTTGACACCCCTCGAATTCCAAGACCCTTGACCCTACAAGTGACCCTACAAGTGACCCTCCAAGTGACTCTAGAAATGGCAAAGGCCAATAGTCATGCGGGCCTATACTAATGTGATATTGAATCAACTGATTCCCAAACACTAAATTTTTAGGATACATCTCGAAATCTAGTACTTCAATATCTAAGGTTCTTAAATCAGAAAGATGTTTCAACTCAATAAGGCTTGCATTATTTTTTCCCCTGTCTTGACCATCAACACTCCAGTCCTTGAAACTCTCTCTCATGTACAAGCATTCCAATCGGGTCAAACTTGCTATAACACCAGTTGGAATTACTTTTAAATACCAACACTTTGACAAATCTAGGAACCTTAAACGAATGAGCTGTCGCACCTCCAGTGGTAATGCTGTAATATTAGAGCCAACAAGACTGAGAATTTCAAGGTTCTTTAACTCTCCAATAAGTGAGATGTCTGATATCTCACAATTCTCTAAGCACAATGTTCGAAGTTTTTGTACACATCCGACAGGCACTGCTGGAATAGACATTCTAGTCATGCTTAGAACTCTCAAGTTTTTCATCCCCTCAAAAAAAGCACCTGAAATATTGACTGAACGATTATCATTATTGCTCAACAACAATATTTCAAGTTTTGGACAATCGCATGCATCAGAGAATTCTTGGATAAGATTGTCAAGTAGCGAGATTGCAGTATAACGATTGAGTGTCTCGTCTCTAGGCCATTCTGTCAACTTGGAACCAGCTCTTACCAAAAAAGCATGCTCACCACTAGATGCCTCCCATATAGCAAAATCTCTGACAACATCATGCATCCTAATATGCCGCCCTCTGTTGTTATCATTCAATAACAAACATCGTGCTTTAAGGTTATCAACCATCGACTTTACCCTACCTCTTGCATCTATAATATTAATCCTATGTCCAAACAACCTTAAGCCCATTCCATATCTCATCAAAACTCCGACAGGTATGTCAGAATCTTCAGGGAAAAGGCAACACAATAAGAAAAAATACTTGAGTTCTGCACTTTCCAAAAAATTATAACTCAACTGTAGCGCCGAATAAACTTTGTCAAGCATGCCTGGGATAGTTCTCGGCTCAGAATTCTTTAATTGGAGAAGTGCGTCTTTCCACAGATCGTAATCCTTACCCTCCAAAGCTGCTGCAACAGTAACAATTGCAATTGGCAAACCTGCACACTCTTTAGCTATATCGGTAGCTATTGGATACACATCTCGCAACTCAACATTACCTGCGGTTTTGTTGAATAAATTCCATGCCTCTCTCTCAGATAAGACGTCAATGGGAAGTTTTTTTTCAGCCTTCATCTTTGTACAAACATGCTGATCTCGAGATGTCAAAACAATTTTACAACCTTCATGAGCATTGCCGTGCGGAATTCCTACAGCCACCAAATCAAGTCCTTCCCACAAATCATCCAGGATTACAAGTATTTTCCCAACTTTCTTTATTCTCTCGCATAAGCGACCCGCTCTACCCAAATCACTTTCAACATCAAATTTTAATCCCAATTTCTCTGCAATTTGAGTTTGAATTTTGCTGGTGTTTGGCGTCTGGGAAACCACTGCCATCACTACCTCATCAAAGAGGTGATGTTTCTCAGCAAACTTTGCAACTTCTGTGATGAGGGTGGTCTTCCCAACGCCTCCCATCCCATAAACTCCCATGACGTTGATCTGATCATCATTCAGCGCTTCAATGATCTCATCAAAAGTTTTTTTTCTAGACTCAAAAATTTCCGTCTCGCTCGGAAATATGGATTCATATCTTGGTGGGCGCGGAGGTTGAGAAACACAGTCGAAGATGTTGCCTTCGCTTATGAGCAGATCAACGGCCGAACTCTTGTGCTTGGCCTTCTTGCTTACTTGGTAGCGTGACTTCAGATCAGGGCACAACCCAATAAAGCACTTGTTGTTTCTCACAGCTTCACCATCATGTAAAATCTGGTAGGACTCTTGGGTAATTGTGTCCGCATCTGTAAGCCATGTCTGAACATTTGGTAGGATGACTTGAAGATTCCTAGCGTCCACATCGACTCTTCCTTGGATTCCCTCTCGAACGTCTTTCAGGTCCTTATCAACTCGAGTTTTGAGATCATTGATGTTGCGATGGTAATAAATTATATACCCAAATTGACGCCCAATTGGTACGACCGTGTACTCTCCAATTGTTGTGACAATCGAACCCAGAAAACCCACAGCTGCTGCATCCATTCTTTTATGCTTTTTGCTTCTTTTTTTTTTCTCCCCTGAAGAAACAGACCCAAAGAGATATAATGAAAACCAAAGGGATTGATTATATAAGAAAAGATATTAGAAGAAATTAAAGGAAGGAGTCTGCAAAACGTGCCTCTTTATGGAATAATATGCATAAAACAACGAAGCTGAGATTGAAATATTAGTATCTCCAGATGGAATTGAGAACAAAAATCTCTACCAGTAAAATTTCACCGAGAATCCAAATGAACTTTGAGAGAAGCACAAGTGGGTACTGGAAAGTGGAAACACTCCTACACCCACAAAAGACAGAAAATTAGAAGAAGAGCAAAGGAGCATTAGTCAAATATCAGTTCTCATGTGTACTGGTCATAAAATATTGGTTCGGATCCTCTTAGTATCAAATTTAGTTCATATTAATCTTCTAAACCCCTAATGTTTCTTTTTTCTTTTTGGGTACCGTTATTCTCAAGAAAAAAACAAAAAAAATGACAGACTATTCATCACTCTAAATACTCTCAATTAGAGCAGCAACAATACCCAGGGCTTTGTAAAAAATGAATGACTTTATTCTTCTTTCTAAGAAGTAAAAAAAAGAAAAGAGAACAACTAGAAAAAGAAAAGGACGAAAAGAACAAGAATCAAATTCTGTGAATCAAATTGGGTACGGGGTTCCATTAAGCAGTGCACATCCGAATCACGTGGACTATCTATTATCATAAATTATGGTGTTCTCCGGTCTCCACCAATAATTTGTCTGATAAATTGTTGTATTAAAAAACCTGATAAAAAATACTAATTGCATTTGAAGTATGTACTTAATCTCACTTTAGTTCTTCAATTTTTAGTTGTGTTAGTTTAATCCTTAAGGTTGTAAAATTGTTTCTTTCTCTTTTTTTTTTTTGGACAAATGAGAACACATGAATTAAACAAAGAAGGATTAAAAAATGATTAGTTTTAAAACTGATATTGAGATGATCCAAATCTCAAAGCATTATTATAAAAAAAAAAAAAAAATGGAGCAGATGAGAAAAATGATAATGCAAGATTGACAAAGTTTAGGTTTATTTTATGTCAGGAGACAATTTAAGCAATTTTGTTGAACTATTTGAAGATTCGATTGTATATTTCTTGAAGATTTCAATTTCAGACTCATTGTAATTACACCAGTCATGTTTGGTTTGGAAGAATTCAACTAAGTGGCCCTCACTATTGGAACAAGCGAAGTGTATAAGGTTTTTTCTGTGTTTCTAGTAGTTTGATGCATGTTTCTTGCTCTAGTGAGCTGGTCGTGCTTGAGTGAGACCAAGGAACCTTGAGCGATTAACGTAAAAAAATTTTCAAACTTGTTTTGAGGAGGGGAGAACTAAAGAGAAAGAACACATTTGGGAGGGCTTGAAAGCAAAACTCTAATTCTCAATGAACAAAAAGAGACCCAAGCAGATTTAATGCAAAATAAAGAGACTATATAACAAAAAATAACATTTCCAACAAAAATTGAAGGAAAGAGAGCAAAACATACCTCTGAAAAGAAGATGAGATTGAAATACTAATATCTCTGAATGGAACTGAGAACGAAGATTTTAGTTGGTAAATTGCAACCGAGAATCAGAATGAGAGGCAGAAAATGATATTTGAGACAAGCACAAGTAGGCAGTGGAAAACACTGACAGGAGGGTGAGAGCCCCGAGAAGGGATGAAGGAGGGGATAATTTTGTTATTTTCAGAAGGTTGTTGTGGGGTCGAAGTTTCGGATTGGATAAAGAAGTGATGGACAGCTGATTAGTGTCTAAAGGAATGATGCTTGGGCAATGGAGAAAGCTGTTTAGTGCCTCAGTGGGACATGAAAGACAATGACAAAAGTGAGTGGGGTATATGGAACGGTGGATACAATTTTCAAACTGGGCATTCTGGTAGGAGATTCTCAGCCAAGTTCTGAAGATTGGACGGTGCTAGTTTTTTTTTTCTCTTTTTTTTTTTTTTGAAAAATAAGATATTTACTCTTTAAATTTTCATCACATATAATTTTTTTATTTTTTTATGTGGGTGTATGGACTTTCATCCAAACTCCAAAAGATCAGTGCCTACTCTTTTATATATATATATATATATATTTTTTTTTTTTTATGGGGGTGTAAGAGACTCTCAACCAAGTTTTAAAAGATTGGAAAGTGTCTATTCTCTCTCTTCTTGTTTTTTTCAAAAATTAAGGCGCCTACTATTTAAGTTTTTATTACATGTTATTTTTTTATTTTTTTATGCGGGTGTGTAAGGGACTTTTTGCCAAACTCTAATTGATTGGAAGGGGCCTAATTTTTCTTTTTCTTTTTTTTTTCCCAAAAAATAAGGTGTTTACTCTTTAAGTTTTCATTACAT